TGTGCTGGTCAGCCCTAGACTTGATCGCATCACGTAGGCTCTCGTTTGACTGCTTCCCTCGCTCTGCGGTATTGGCCCTGTATGTGGTACCTCCATCTCCGTGCATCGCAATCGCGACGGCGCGTCGATCCCACTGAAACCACCGCTTCCAGTGTCGACCGCGGGTCCCACCCATGGACTAAGAAGAATGACGTTTCTCCTCTCACTCGATCGTGTGCCGTGTTCAGCGCAAATGTCAGCCGCTCTGCATAGTCGTCCCAGTCTTGTTGGTTGACGTCTGCGACGTACATCTTCAGGGATCGTGTCAGAGTTTGCACTGTTCGCTCGGCCTTGCCGTTCCCTTGTGGAGGGTAAGCCATTGTCGCGCTCTGCCTCATTTTCACGATCAGGTTGAAGCCGCGGAAGAAGTCCGACATAAAACCAGGCTCCCTGTCATGTCTGATGACTTCGCTTGCGCCGAACCGACGGAAGACGCATTCCTCGTAATTCTCAGCCACTGCCTGCGCCTCTCTCGACGGACCAGGCTATTACGTAACCGGTGAACAAGTCGGCCCAAATCAGCAGTTCGGTGTTTCCTTTGAACGACTTTGGCAACGATGGAATGTGGTCCATGGAGATCACCTGGAAGGGATACGTACCCTGGATATTTCCTGGTGATTCTCCCTGGCCCGTTGGCTTCCCCTTCCCGGTTTCGCAATCGGTGCATTCCCCCACGTAACGTTGTACACTGCGATACAGCCCGCGCCAGTGAAAGTTCGCTTGGATTATCCGGTACGTCCTTCCGATGCCTTGATGGCCTCCTTCAAGACTGCTGCAGGCTGTCGAGTATCACCATCCTGACGACACCGTCGCGGTCTTCGCCTCGTTGCAGCGTCTTGGGGCAAAAGAAGAGTAGCCCGTTCTCGTCCACTTCGTAATTCGCGGCTATCTTCGAGCATGCCTTCGCCTCTTCTGCTGTCAAGACATTCACTTCCCCGTCCAGGTACTTCTTCAGATCAGCAATCCACTTCTCTTAATC